ACCTATACCAAATCTCATCTTGATACACCTAATGGTCTAGAAGTTATGACTTGTCTAATAGATTCGTTGACACCCGGTATGTCACCAGATAGAAAATATCTTCAAGCGTAAATAATAATAGTTATTATTGATTCATAACTACCTACGTACCTATCTTCAAGCGTAAATAAAAATTATTATTATTTATTCATAACTACGTACCGTCGTATTCAATAAAAAAGCGTACAAGTATTGAAAAGAGAGGATTTCGGGATCCTAGTTCTAGTTGCGTAAAACTGGCTCAGCCAATGCTTTGTGTTTTCGAGAATCTATGACAACTTTACTGTCAACATTTGGCGAAAAATCATTCCCGATAGCCCGTTTAATGCAGAATAGGATGACGTTAATTTCTCTCTGTAATATACTTGTACGCTTTTTTTTAATGCGACTGTACCATGATAGCTAAAAATCCATCAAATGATAAACATGATGATTTTTGCAATTCTGTTAGGCATCCACCACATGTTGCAACTCAAATGCTGCTTACACCACATGTTGCAACTCAAATCCTGCTTACACCACATGCTGCAACTCAAGAGTGCTTGTTTGGATATTTGCAATAAGCCAGGGAACATTTTCAGACAATTGATTTTGTATTGCTGAATAGGAATATTATCAAAACATAGTTGAGAATTTATGAATCATTGAATAACTAATATTTCTGAAGTTCCCAATCGTATTTCAACACATGGCAACTGTGCTATATGGTTTGCTCCTACTTACGAAATCGTGACGTCAGTATTTACTCGCGGTAAATTATAATCCGTTCGAAAATGACCGTGACATTTCAGTACTGAAAATCGACCGAAACATCCTGAAAAATATGAAATAGAAAGTTATTTGAGTGATGATTCTATTTAAGAAATGAAAAACAAATAGTCCGCTCGAATTAAATCGCCTGTTCCTATGGGAACCGCTGACATCGCTGATGCCTTCCTGTTTTAGTTCCAAGAAGATGATGCGCCAGCATTTTCAAATCTCATGAGGAATTCTCACTTTAGGTTTATAATTTTTCTAGCTCTGGCACTGTTCAGATCACATAAGTAATAAAATTTGTTTTCAAACAGGGCCTTTGTGTTGTTATTTGCCACCGATTTTCCCGAGTGGCCCCTGTACGAGAGCCTAAAGTTTTCGAACCATTCCCAAACCTCATTGTCAGATTGGCCACAGTGAATCACGTGATACACTTTAGACCCATGCGCATTCGCTCGTAGAAATATTATTAGAAAGACCCTCGAGGTCGCGGGAGGAGGGCTGACGCCATGCTCTTAGTGGACCAGAATAAAACTCCCTGATCAAACTCACTTTCCACAATTTTATTACGGAAAATAATAATAAAAAAACACGAATCTCAACATATCACGTGTTGGTGGTTCGAAAGATTTAGGCACTTCTGCCCCTGTTCCCTATGTGCATCCTTGCGCTTGATTCACTGAAGGAGAATATATCCTCAGTTATTCACAGTATTAATTAAAAGCTATACCTAAGCAAACAAGTTCGTGCTTATCTGTTGAGAAGATGGTTCGACCTCCCAATCCATTAGAAACTGTGGCCCGAGTTCGGATATGCGAGAGGACTTTTTTCAAAACAAAACGCGTTGCGAAAGTCGGATATAATCTGCACCTGGTTAATGATACAAAAAGGGCAAAAGCTCCGTGGGATTTAATTAAAGCACAGGCTCGCTCGCACGTTCTTATATATGTTAAGGAGGATGCCAAATCATTACTATTTCCGTATCCGTAAAGGACATCTAATCTCGATATTCCATAAAACAATTGTTTTATTTTGCTTTATTCGAGAAACTCACAAACCAATAGGTGGTGCAGAAAGAACGTAAAATTTTGAGGTGAAAGTGGTGGAGAACCATTATTTGATTCAATATGAATTGGTCGTTCTGACATATACATGTTTTTGGAATCCAAACCTGAGATATGTTCGAACAAGTTTTATCAATTCATAGTTTTGAAATGGTTTCAACAAATCACTGGAACTATTCAAGTACTGGCATTTTTTATTGCGCATCATTTGTTTCTATTTCAGGAAATAATGATAGAGGTTGGGGATTTTGAATATCAATAAAAGACAAAACACAAACTCATTTCCACAATAACGTTCAATTTCCTAATGAAATAGTCAGAGATTATAGCCCCAGAGCTCAGAGCTCAGAGGTCAGAGCTTAGAGTTCAGGGCTCAGGGCTTAGAGCTCAGAGCTTAGAACTCTGAGCTTAAATCTTATAGCTCAGAGCTTAGACCTTGAAGCTCAAAGCTTAGAGCTCAAAGGTCAGAGCTCATCTGAACTGATGAATGAAATTTTTCTAATAGTGAAAATGTTCCCTGAACTTCACTGAGGAGAAAAGTTAAGAACTTCCGATCGTGAATCGACTGAATCGAGAACTAAACTAAAAGTCGCTGTACAATACCAAACGGGTGAAACGCGTACCATATCCTCGACATCAGGTATACATAAAATGTGCACGAAGTACCAGAGGCTAGCCCAGGGTCTGGTCAATAAATCCCCGAGACGTGGACATCCCGGCACGCTGCAGAATCAAGTAGTTTTGTATCGCACATCGCCAAACAAAACACTGTCAACCAACTTATAGTGCAGGGGCGTGCAACCACATAACCAGTTGTGTAAAGTAAAATATTACATAACTGGGGATAAAATGTTCATTCCAACACCAGTTATGTGATAAAAATATGGATGGACGAAGAGTAGTATACATTTTGTGCTGCCTCTTCGATATCACTTGGGAAATCTGAACTTGAATCTTTCATTTTCCACAAAATAAAATTATCAAAGGTGTCTATTTCGTGAATTTCGTCTCTCCGATTTTTGATGAATGCTTAAAAGTGACAGGCGAAGTCAACTTGCCTACTAAATTTTGTACATAATAGGTAGAACTCATATAGAACTGGTTACTATGCATCTGTACAAGCGAAATTTTTTATCTAAAATAGAAAAAATATTCTACCTATGTAACACGTTAGGAATCGCATTTTGTATAGCTCTGTGTTTTGCTGTATCTCGCTTCGCTCGTCCCGCAAAATCCCATCGTTGAAGAGAATAGTCGGTATTAAATACCAATCCAGCAAACATTTTGATATGAGGCATTGATGGCCTAATATATTTTCCCAATGCTTGACATCAGCGGCCCAGTAAATGGTCGCATATGCGAGACTCTATAATATCAGTATGTACACTGCGACCGGCAGCTGGTCCCAGTGCTGGGTACCCAGAAATCATATTCGGTTCCCCTGCAAAAGGCCAGTACACTAGTGAACACATTGATTTTTTCATAGTTAGCAACACATACATAAATGATGGGACTGTAATGGCCAATTATCGACATTGGTTACATACTATCGAGGTAGGGAAAGAGGTTTTTAGGTTCAAAGGTTTAAACGTGAGTGGGCCCATGTCAGGCCCTTCACTGCGGCCAATGGGTACTCCTAATTCTTTCTTGATATCAGAATTCATCCTCCATAGGGGTATGATAAACGAAATACTGTTGCATGAGTTTATAACTTGATCAATATCGTCTGATAGCTTGATATAACAAATTTAGCTTTTCAATTTTCATTATTTCGCCTTCACAGGTATTTTTGTAGTTGGAACTTTATGGTTATTCACTTCCATAATAGAGACAGCTTAACATAACCTAGAATTACTTCTGATAGCAATCAACGAACGAGTTAAACATGATAATTATGCTTCCGGAGAGGTGGAGCCACTCCAAATATCATGATCACTAGGTATATGAGATTATGAGATATCAAAGACATATATTTCATAATGGAATTCGAAACACTATACATATAGGTAGGATAGATTGATACTTACTCAATATTATCATAATTGAAGATATCATCTTCTATATTATCAATTGAGAATATTCCTGCCATCATAAATAAAGACCTTGGGAAGTGAGGAACACAATAATTCGACAACAAACCAGTGAAAAACGAACCATACGCTATCACTAGAGTCACATATAATAATGATCCAAATGATCAGCTGATTGTTGATGTAGACGTTATCAGAATTTCCACCAGATTGACGAGTAGTGAACAGGATATTGACCAGCAAAGGACCACAACTCGTTAATGTTCAACTGGTTCCAGACATCTTACCATCGTATTTTCAACTGATGTTTACTTTGCATAGGAAAATCATCGGTCCACTACCATTGCCTGTGGAAGTATTCCCAACAACATATAATCTCCAAAAATTCAAAAAAAATTCCAATACCTACCTCCTGTCCCTATCCTCCCTAGGAACGCACGATGTTCTTTGAACATTATAGGGATTCCCTTTCGTGCGCTCCAATCGATAAAAAAAAAAAAAAAAAAAAATACCCCGGTATCGTCACTTTCCCAGGCTTGCCTGCACTACGCCTGATTTCTCTCGGTACTTCAATATTTACTGGGAAACGTTTAGTAAAACAGGCGTCAGTCACTACATTCATCTATTAATACTACTACAAAATTGTATGATACTACTCTATCTCAAATATCACCACTACAAAATAGTATGATAGGTACTTATATAGTATGATACAATTTTATTGTGGTATCATTATTTGATGAATGTAGTAACTGGCTCCTATTTTACTAAACATTCGATATTCACTAACGACTATTTTTCAGAGTGAACACAAAATGACGCGTTTTCCATCTGAAAAATAACCATCATTCAAGGAATTTGTTCAATTATATAATGAATATGGAAAAATACCTACCTGAATAATTGAGAGCTGTCAATATGTAAAACGCGCATATATCGTAGTAGGCCTGAGCCTTGGCCTGAGCAACCAACAAAACATTCAGTACAGACCCAATTATCAACCTAATGTAGTGAAAAATACGAAATTCTCTACAGGTCAGGAGAGTTACTGAAGACATGATCGTCAAGGTTTGAATAATGAGTTCGATTTACCATTGTATTCTTTTATTTTCAGATATATCCAGAGGGGACTCTTGGTCAGGGAGAATATGTTGCCCGACTCCCCACAGCGAAAGATGTCGCAGAGCCTGCATCACAGCATCCTCTCATCTTGATCTCGCAAAAGGGTGTAGACAGAGCGATGAGATCGCATTCTTCAGTTGTTTAGAACGTCAAGAAGGTAAGAAAACATTCAACTTGTAACCAAATACCTTAGAAAAATGAGTAAGTAATATAATAGAAAAGAATTGAAGTTTATTGACTATTTTATGTACATACATACAAGGCACATTTATAGCCAGGTCAGAAACTTTTATACATGTAAATTTGTAAATAAACAGACAATTTTCATTGAAATACATACTCATAAGATCACTGTGTGAACTATGTGATGGTCATGTGCTATTTTTTTAGGAAATCGGAACTACTCAACGGAGTAGAAACTGTAGCTAACTGAAATATGTTTTATGGTTGTTTTGAATAGCTCAAATTCCATTTGTTTGATATTATCTAGCATCTCATTGAAAAGTCGAAGATTGTGAGAGTTCCGTGCAGATACTTCTAAAAGGTTTCGAGGATTCAATAGGAGATTATTATTTCTTGTATTGTACTGATGTATATGTCATTATAAGCAGCGTACGTTCTTAAGTGTCTATGAATCTCAAGGAGACTCTAATATATGGTAAGGTCATTATGCCCAGATTAGCAAATATAGGTTTACATGAGTCTCTAGGTCCTGCACCTGTAATAGATTTCACTGCCTTTTTTGCACTATTAACACACGGGAGACCTGAAAGGAATTTCCTCATAGTGAGGTTCCATAGCTCATATACGAGTGATTTAATGCAAAGTATGATACTCTCAGTACATCGGGGCTTACGGATTGTTTCAATTCCTGCAGTAAAAAAATTTGGCTGGATAATTTTCTACATAGACTGTCGATGTGAGACGACCAGTTTAGTTTATCATCCAGACTGATGCCAAGCAATTTAGCAGTATTTCCTCGTAGAATGTTATTATCAGAAGAGAATAATAATGTTTGAGACTTGCTGTCATTTTGATTGAGCATATTGAGTAGCCACTCATCAGTTTCTTTTGTCTGAATGATAAAATGTTGCGTCATCAGCAAATAATATACACCTCGATGAACTCATGTTCACAAGTATATCGTTCACGTATATTATGAATAGAAGGGGCGCAAGTACCGAGCCTTGTGGAACTCCAAAATTATTTTGTCGAGACCTAGATATACCGTCATTGAAGAACATCCTCTGATTTCGCTGACGTAAATGTGAGTCGGGAAAGTTTAGAGCTATTCCTCTAACACCATAATATTCAAGATTTCCCAATAGAATTTCATGAGAGACATAGTCGAAGGCCTTACACAGGGTTGTGCTCGTGCATTCACCCAGCTCAAAATGTAGTTTGCATTGATACTCTCCCTTGTATCTGACTATAGTTGAATTTTAGAAACTTCAAACACCGATTTGTGTATTTGAAATGTCTATTTCCTTCCATGTATGTTTAAGACCTCCATTACACTTCAGGCATCAAACTTTACACATGGGAGGAGATGATAAGCTTGACTTCCTTGATATACAGGGTATCTCATTACTAATCGGGAATATTTCAACTATCCTATCTGAAAGTAGTTAGAGACAAACACGAAATCATCTCCACAACGTTTAATCTTCTGAAAGGAATTAGGCCAACTAGGGGATCATGTTTCGGACATCATTATAGTGTCCATCATCAGGCGAAATGTGAAAATACTGTCATGGGTATAAAAAATCATCTCATAGTTAACATATTATTTCATTGAAAAACTAAATGAACTTTTAGATAGCGAAAATTGTTTGGACTCATAGGCAGGAAATTTGATTTTGGAGACCATGCGGGTACCACACCTATTAATTCGCTTCGATTTGTTTGTTTTCCAAATGAAATAATATGTAAACTATGGAATAATTCCCATCCCCATGACATTTTTTTACCTTTCGGTTGATAATGGACACTATTGATGTCTGAAACATGTTCCCATTATTATTTTTATGAAATTGAACGTTCTGGAGATGATTTATTGTGTTTGTCTCTTACTATTCACTACTTTACTCCACTTTGAGCTATGGACTCCTACACTAAATTATCTTATATGAGTTACAGGGTGTTCAATTTAGAAATTTGAAAATCATTTGTGGCTAGTACCTGGAAACGGGCGGGAAGTGAAGATACTATATACCGTATTTACCCCTCCAGTGGTGACGTAGTTTCACGAAACATGAGCGTTGACGTCGGTCTGAGAGACATTCAATATCTTTTTGAGATGAAAAAATAGTGTCAGTTGATATGACTCTGCTTGAAGGGAACATCATTAAGAATCACATCATATTATTATAAAAAATCAATTCAATTCAAAATCCTCTTCATCGGTCATACATGTTTTCATGGATGTAGATTTCTTGGTTGTGAGAAATAATATTTCATTTGTATAAGAATATATATGGTTTATGCAAAGTCTTTTGGAAAAAGACACCACCGCAAGCCGTCGGTCCCTTTGAAAGTTCAAAGAATGCGGCAGCGCGGCCCGACATGCGTTTGATGATCTGTTCAACTGACTTAGCATAAACTATATGCTCAATTCCACATAAAAAGAAATGAAATACAAAATAATAATATAGCAGATTTGTTACTCAACTAGTGACGTCGGTCTAGCATACCGAAAACAATAACTGAAATTCAAAAAATTAGATTCTGGTCGGTCTGAGAGATCGTAGGTCACCACTGCAGGGCTAATTATGTGGAATAAACATTACTGACTACTGCCAGAAATACACGACAGGAGCAAAGGATTAGTTGATCATATTCATAGCCTACGCCACTGGCGAAATCGACAGTTTTTCACAGATTTTTGATTTCCCAATACTTTCTACGTGAATATCGTACTCATTCTTCAAAGCGATGAAGTTATTATTTTTCGAGATATTTCAAGTAGAGCATGATTTAATGTGGCGATCATTGAAGTGCATTTATTAATCAAATGTAACTTCAATCCATATTAACAAAAACAATATAAACACATAATAGACAATAGCTGCTCCAGGGGGTTTATTAATTATTATATTCAAGAATTCAAAACACCCTGTAAGAGCTACTGATGTCTGTTATTCTAAAAACTTTTTTTGTTAATATGGATTGAAGTTTCATTTGATAAATGAATGAAAATCATTAATCTAAAACATTACATGATTTGATGTTTGATGTGGCAAATAGCTAGGAAAGTAGTTGTTTTCTGTTGAATTTTCAGAATGACATTTAGTGCATATACATATTTTCTGAAGGAGAATGCAAATTCTCAACTTCAGAAAATCTCGTTTTCAAATTCTTATTGTAAGTGTTCAATAGATATCATTCAATGTTCGTCATGGCATATTGACAGGAAAGTAGTTGTTTTCTGTTGAAGAAACCGAGAAAGAATTGATATTCTCATCGCATGAAGAATGCGAATTGCCAATGTATTCCTTCATATATGTATATCCATTTTTTTATGTTCATAATTTCATTTGAGAATATTCCTTTTCAATAATTATGATACATCGAAATCAAAATAATTATGCAGCTCCATGTTCAACTTGAAATATATCGAAAAATAAAGACTTCGCTATAAAGGAAGAGTATGTACGGTATGATATTTACGTAGAAAGTATTGGAGAAACGAAATATTGTGATGAAATGGCAATTCCGTTAGTGGCGTAGACTTTTGGAAAGGAACTAGTCATTTTTCCCTGTCGCACGCCTCTGGTAGTAGCCTGAAACATTATTCATCTCACATAATTTACACCTTCCACCAAATATGACAATGATAAGTATACGTTTCAAAGTACTATAGACACAAATATTTTTCGAATTTCCAGATAAAACACCCTGTAACTCAGACAAGAGACCTATTTTGTCTAGGTGATTTGGGTTGAATATCCATATTTTGAACTCAGCATTCTATCGTTGAAATAATAAAAACTATTGAATACCTGTCCTGATATGCGATATATCATTATTTCCTGCTTGATAGTTTTCAATTCTGCTTGTGTTCAATTTCAATATCATTAGGGATTGTTCTTTTTCAGCTGGTGCAAGCTGCTGTGACAATGCGAAAACTGAAGACTGTAAAGAAGCTTGTACAGAAATATTCCGGAGCGAATTGTCGCCTACCAAATTCCAAAGACAAAACTTGAAAGATAGTTGTGAAGATAGTAGCCCCAAAGTTACCGAATGCTTTAAAGATTTGATAAAACTAACGCCTGTCAAAAGTACTCATAAATGTAAGTATTGTCTCGCAATATCCTTTTAAGCATATCGTTACTTAAAACTAAATTACACAAACTTCGTCTTAATAATGTAGAGCAAGAATAAAGAGGTTGAGTAAAAACTTGTATCTGTTGTTTCTCAACTATTCTTATAATGATTTCAGTTGAATAATGAGGGTTATATATCTGTCGGTTCAAAATTGAAAATACATTCAAACATTTTTCATTTATCAAAGCTCACTCAAAGGTACATGTTTCGAGCTCATCATCAACCCAATATACGGATCATTAGCAGAAGAAAAAATCTCACTCTCCACAATATGAAATGTGTTTATTAACTGAATGCCAATTCCAAAGAGTGATAGTTGTAGGATGCAGGGTGTTGTAGAATGAAAAAAGTGATTTTTCCCAATTTTTTCCCCTACATCCCAACAACTACGCCCATGTAAATATTTTATTGTTTGAAAAAGTCACACTTGAATTCCGGCCGTCAGTTATAATCAACTCTGTATCCAAGTATATTTCAATTCTCAATCAATGTTGAGATTTTCCTCAGACTGTACTTCACTTTACCTTCTCTTTGAAATTTTACCTGATGGAATCATTGTTTATAATGAATTTTGATCATTTTGTGAAGCTGGACAATTTCAAGTAAAGTAGGCGCTTTGAATCGAATCTGAATAATAGCTGAATCATTTCACTTTCTATTCCAGATATTCATTGCTGTGATAGATCAAACAATATAAAATGTAGTGAGACTTGCAGAAGAGTCTTATCAACAAAAAATACCATACAAGAAATACTCGATGGCCTTCAAGTGGGAGGATGTGGATTTCCTATGCCCCAGGTAAATCTATTTTCATTGTCTGATTCTTTCTCGCAAGTTGAAGTTAAATCATGTGAAGAATCTCGAAAACAGTTGAAATAAAATGAAATTCATCAATTTAATACTAAAATAGATGTTTTCCATTCCTAGAGCTCTTATAGACTTTTAACATTGTGGAAAATGGATATCAAATGCGATTTAGAGAAAATATTGTTATCTATTGATTGATGAATGGATGGGCGAGGAGGATGATCAATGTTATTCTAAACCAGTGATAGAGTAGTACAAATCCTCTATAAGTTACTTCGCTGATTCAACTTTTGAAGCGATGTTCATTGAAATTGAGAACCACATTGATCAACCATCTACAACCCTTTCATTCTAAAACGGATCACATTTCAAACAGCAACAATTATTGTTGAACTTATATTGGAATTCGATTACTCTCCCAGATACTTTCATCGTTCACTTGTATGAGTTAAAGAAGCGGCCATAATGGTTTTTGTGAGGCTTATGACTTATGACCTTCTTGCTATAAAATATTCGACGTTTTAATAAGTTTTCAACAAGGACCCCTTTGCTCATTGAAGCCATATGTTATTCAAAAGTCACAGTTTGTCTTTTATAGCATGAAGAGTACGTACAGAGACCTGTAACGGCTAATATCTAATTTTTTTATAAACATGTGGCTTATGCCCCTTGTTCCCCCAAGCGCTTCATATCATTCTTATGTTGAAAAAATCTTCATTTTGTGATTGTTGCTTTTTTGAGTAGTATTTATTCATAGAATCATTTTCTTCAATAGGAATATTTCTGGCAATGTTTTCTCAAACCAGACGTGGCAACAGTAACAGCTTTTGGAGAAGTATCTAGAATAGACAGAGTCGGAATGGACAGTGCTAAGTGGCATTGTTGCCAAAGAGCAAATTCCTCGCAGTGTGCAAGACTCTGTTCGAAGACGTTCACGAAGTTCTGGGCCACATCCTGGGATGACTTCCAATATAAGTGTCTAACCAAAGTTACGGAGGAGAGTTTGAGATCCTGTATAGATGAAGGTTAGTCATGCAAAAAATGAGATTAATCCAATTATACTTAGATATTTTAAACAAATCCCAGTTCTCGAAAATTTGTCTGAAGATCATTTACTGACTGTTCAGCTATGTTACATAATTTCATTCACTTGGATCCAACAGAGATTAAACTTATCTGCATACTTATTTGAACAGAATTGATAGATCACTAACTGAAAATTTTCAATATGTTCCAGTTGATGAACCATGTGAACTTGGTTGTGATGGACTGAGTTTCTGCACCAACTTCAATAACAGGCCTACTGAACTTTTTCGTTCCTGTACATCAGCATCGGATGAAGCAGCTAGGAACGATGTTGCTCTCTGGCAGAATCAAAATAATATAACATTATGTAAGATTAAATACATTATTGATTCTTTTAGTTGATTTACTGAGTCTATGAATTGAAATCAATTCAGTTCATGCCATACCTGAAGATGTACCTCGACATAACCTATACTATCAATAGATCACTAATGGCATAAGATGAAAGCTCATCAATTTATGAGATCGAAATGAATCTCATGTTTCCAATGGAGTATGTTCATTCAAGACCTCTCATGTTCCCGAAGAGACATGAGATGATTTCCTGAATGACGGTTTGGATACCTCTTCAATTGTTCTGCACCTTGCGCAGAAGCTTTTTTAGGAGAGAAATTGTCATGAGATTATTGGATTGTAACCTGGTAACAAAAATAGTCTGTTAGACATTACTTACTGATATTAGACGTAGACAATATTTTTATAGTTTCTATGATTGATCGAAAATCATCAGCATATAATAGTCATGCCATTATCAGGATATTGATTCAAAATTTCTTAATTTCTAAGAGACGATAAATATATTCCCTTCACAAAATACATCGCTATTGCGAATTTATAGTGGGATTTTTCAGACACTTTTCAGTGAAATTGATGAATTTTCTTCAATATTCATTGAAAAAACAAATAGTGGTCACTGTAATACAATCAAGAATTTCAGTTATGAAGCAGAATTTGACCAGGTAGACGCGAAAAAATTTTGGGATCACACGTCAAAAAGTAAAGCCCCTGTCATTCTTTGCTCGCACAAGTCACTTGAAGACTTCTGAGAGTTTCTTGTTAGTATGCAACCGAATGATATATTGGCTTTATTTCTTCAGTGGATATCATATCTTCATTATTCAAAACGAGAATGACAAATTATAACATTTATAAACATTATTCACAACGTTGTATGACACTGTTTCGCTCTCATTCCCTCTGTAAGAATGAGCGAGTCAATATCACACACCTTCATTAGTACGACGAGAAAGCATTATATCGTTTGCCCGCATGATTAGATTCAGATTAGATTTAGAATGGGGACTTCGGGCTATCTGCCTCCACACCGCGACCTTTTCAGATCTATTGTGTCTGCCCTCAAAATCGATTAGAGTTCTTCGGCTAGCCCCGTCTTCTCTATGAGAATCCATAGGCTAGCTTTCAGATCCCCTGTGTATCTCTGGGCTTCTGGTTTTTCCTCACCCAGCGTAAGGAACCTTAGTCTTGACAAGCCCTCACAGTGGCAAAGTATGTGTACTGCTGTTTCCTCCTCTTCCTGACAGAACCTGCACAGCAGTTCTTCAGTCAGACCTATCGTACTCATGTGTTTGTTGAGCCTACAATGCCCTGTGAGAAGTCCCACTAGTATTCTAGTTGAACTTCGTTTCTGGCTTAGTAGATATTCTGTGAATGTTGGCGATGGTTTTTTAATAAACTCTTTTGCCTGTCTCATTCCTGGCGATTTGTTCCACCATTCTTGAGATTTGGTTTGCATCCATGATTTGATACTAGTCTTTTGTATAGCTTTCGCAATACCACAGAAGGGTTCTGGGCCATTCAGAGCTTTGTTTGCTCCTGCTCGGGCAAGTGAGTCTGCCTCTTCATTGCCCTCGTACCCTGTATGTGCTGGTACCCATGCTAGAGTCAGTCTGTTCTGACTGCCCAGTGCATTTAGGGTTTCTAAGCAGTCCCATACTAGTTTTGAGTTAACTTGCATAGAGTTGACTGCTTTGATTGCCGCCTGGCTATCTGAATAGATTGCAATGGTTTTGCCTTTAAACTCTTGCCTTATCAATTCTTTCACGCAATGATGTATTGCAATAATTTCTGCCTGAAACACCGTCGCGTATTTACCTAAGCTCAGTGAGATTCTTGTCTTTGGCTTGGCCCCATAAATGCCAGCTCCTGATCCAAACTCAGTTTTGGAGCCGTCCGTATAGACAGCAATGTCTGCATTGATAGGAGGTCCTTCCTTCCATGCCTCTCTGTCCGTTATACTTATTTTAAAAGTTTTTTCAAAGCTATATTTTGGAATTATGCCATCCGTTGGCATTCCCATGATGGGGTCGCTTTCCAACTCTTCATATAGCTTTCTATAGTCTTTACCGTGCGCGTTGCTTATGGGTGCTTGACCCCTTGACAATCTACTCACGACTGCTCTGGCTTCGCCTTGAATATATATTTGTAGTGGTGGTAGGTTCAAGAGGACCTCTAAAGCGGCTGTTGGAGTGGTTTTCATTGCACCAGTGGCACTCAGGCAAGCTTGCCTTTGAATAGCACTGAGCCTTCGAATCACTCCAGCCTGTTGTGTCTTTGGCCACCAAACTACTGACCCATATGCTATCATAGGCCTGATGACGCTGGCATAGAGCCATGTGGTCATTTTTGGTTGCAGTCCCCAATTTTTTCCGCACATTCGTCTGCACAGATTGAAGGCTACTGTACTTTTTTGAACAATTTTTTGTAGGTGTTGATTCCATGTTAACTTATGGTCAAAGATGACTCCTAAGTATTTTGCCTCTAGGGCGAACGGAATTTCTACCCCGTTGAGTACTGGTGACTTTAATCCTTCCAGTACTCTCTTTTTCGTGAAATTCACTATAGTGGTTTTATGAGGGTTCACGGTGAGTTCCTCCTCTTTACACCAATTGTCAATTATGTTTAGAGCGATTTGTGTGAGCTCCGAGACCGTACTTGCGAATCTACCTCTAGCGATAACCGCCAGGTCGTCGGCATATCCTAAGCAATAATACCCTTTTGATCAGTTCGTCCATTAGAATGGCCCATAGTAGGGGCGATAATACTCCTCCCTGTGGGCATCCCCTATCTGCTCTAGCTGTCAGAGTTGTCTCGCCAATTGTGGATATAATAACCCTATTTTTCAAATTGACATTTATCCACTGGCACAGGGGTAGCGGTACTCCTTTTCTTGCTAGGGCATTAATTATAGAATTTGTTGATGCGTTATTGAAAGCACCTTCTATGTCTACGAATGTTGTTATAGCTATTTCTTTGTCGTCTATCGACTTTGCGAGTAGCCTGTTCAGATCATCCAGTGCTAAGTCAGTTGACTTGCCTGGCTGATACGCATATTGGCGTTCGTTGAGCGGGTTTCTTTGTAATACCTCGTCTCTTATGTATCTGTCTATCAGTCTTTCCAGCGTTTTGAGCAGGAACGACATTAAACTTATTGGGCGGTATGATTTTGGCGTTTTGTCACCCACCTTTCCCACTTTGGGAAGGTAGATGACTGTCACCTTCTGCCATACTATGGGTATATATCGTATTGCTATACAAGCCTTGAATATACGACACAAATGTGGAATTAGTATTTCCTGCCCCTTTTGAAGCAGGATGGGGTATATTCCATCTACTCCAGGGGATTTATAAGGTTTAAATTTATTAATAGCCCACCTAATTCTGTTTGGCCTCGATATCTCTGTAGCTAGCCTCCATTCTATGGCAGTTGGCCTATTCGGCCTGCCAATGGTGCTGTCTGCCACTATCGGCTCATTTAGAATTACTGAGGCCGGAAAGTGTGCTTCAGTGAGCATTTTCAGACTCTCCTCAAAAGTTGCTGTGTAGGTATTGTCATTCTTCTTCATAAAACCTACTTGGTTCACAGTACCTTCTTTGGCTAGCACTTTGTGGATCCTTGAACATATGGGGGTTTCTGTGACCTCCTCACAGAACTTTTTCCACGATTGCCTTTTCGATTTCCTAATCTCTTTGTTGTACTGCGTGAGTTTAACCTTATATGTGGTCCAATTCTGGTCGAGTTTTGCTTTGTTGAATAGCCTTCGCACCTCCCCTCGTAGGGTTTCGAGATGCTTGTTCCACCAGATTGTTTTATTGCTTTGTTGTCTTGTTTTTTCCGGGCAGTTACCTTCGTAGGCGGCAACTATTGCCTTGCTTACTTGGTCTACTGACCTCTCAAGACTGTGGCTGTCCCTTATGTCAGCCGTGGTCCTTTGTAGAGATTCTCTGAGTGATGTTGCGTATCCTTCCCAGTTGGTCTCTCTGGGGTTTCTGTACTTTGTTAAGGTACGAGGTGGGGTAATTATATCAAATCTTATTTGTCTATGGTCAGAACACGAAGGTTCATCTGACACATGCCAGTTGACGATATTATCACATGCTTTTTCTGACGAGAGAGTTATATCTAGAACTTCTTTCCTCGCTGCCGTGACAAATGTTGGTTCGCATCCTACATTAGCTATTAATAACCTTTCTGTTAGTATGAATTGCAAAAGTGACTCACCTCTTATGTTGACGTCTGTGCTTCCCCATACAGTATGGTGTGCATTTGCGTCGCATCCTATGATGAGTTGGAGGTTTGCCCTTGCCGCATATGCGATTACTTCGCCTAGTATCGGTGGTGGGCAAACCTCCTTGCCTGGGAAATACGCGGAGCTCACTATCCAGCTTCTGGTACCTTCCTCTGTCGGCGTGGTTAGGAGTCCTGTAACAACATCACCGGTGCAGAGCACCGGTATTAGTGTGCATTTTACTCTATCGCTATATACTATGCATGCGCGAGGTTTATTGTTACCTTCTACGTATAGTACTTTACCTTGGTTGGGTTTCAAGCCGGCTACCCTCCCTCCATGTAACCAGGGTTCTTGCAAGAGGGCCAGGTCGAGACCGTCTTTGTCAAATCTCCTACATACCATAGCGCTGCCCGCATGATAGAACCGACCTATGGGTCTGCTTCTACAAACGTATATGTATAATATCAATATGAATATCATATGTGAATCTCAGCTATGCTGTAGTAACGTGAATATTTATGAAATTTTCGAATAAGTTTTGAAATTCAATGAAACATACTTGGAACCGGAATAAGTGTCTGTCAGTGAACTTTTTGATAGAGTGAGTCTACCTATCACTGGCTCTCATACTATTGTTATATGACAATCTGCAACATACTCTGACAATTCATTAGTATACAGTAATATGAGTCTCAAATTCTATTCATGTTGAAAACCCATTTGATTGTGAGATATTTGGACTGAAGTGTACTATTCGACATTATGACTGTGATTATGATGTAGTGATGTAGGTATTATATTTTCCAGCTCCCGGCCTCACTCTGCCCCTCAAGAGCGTTTCCAAATGCTCGAAGAACATCTGGAAAACAGTGGCGTGCACGCTGCAGATCAAACCCTGCTCCAGAACCTCGCACGCTAACCAAATCTGCCGTGACATCTGCCTGGACGTCCTCTCCCAGTGCGTCGACTGGACGCAAGTCTCCCCCGTCTACTCAGCCGAGTCCATCTGCGAGAAACTGTCGCCGGAGGATCCCGATGAGTCCTGCGTGAGCCTGCAGACCTACCTCAAGCCGTCCTCCTACGAGTTCTCGCGGATAACCGGTCAGGTGTTCAGCCCCTGCAAAGGGAACCCCTGCGAGGCGGACGAGATTTGCTTGATCAACAGGAATTGCGTGCCGGGAAGGAATTGCCGGCCGTACTTCTGCCGACCCGGGTGCAGATTAGGTAAATGAAGTTTCCTATAAGTAAATATACACCATCATCAGCACTCCACACACACCTCGTACAATTCGGGTATGTTTCCATCTTGCTGGAAAATAGAAAATAGAGTCCAATCGATTAACAAAAATGGAAACAAAAACCTGTCGAACAACTATGAGCCCATTGCCCATCAGTCATCTTCAAAGTGATAGGGGAAACCATCCAAATTGAGCTCATCAAATATCTGGAAAGCTAAGGAATCATCAATGATAGACAATATGGCTTTCGCCGTTGTAGATCAACTGGAGATTTACTTGCCCACGTCACCCATATATAGCAAGCTTTATTGAAAAAACACGAGAAATCACTAGCTGTGGCGTTAGATATATCGAAAACACTAGACCGTGTTTTGCCCCCAGGACTTCTCCACAAACTACCATCATACGGCTTACCACCTCATGTATGTAAAATTTTATTCAGCTTTTTCTAACACGCAAATCGCTCCATGTTGTGGTAGACGTAGTTTCGTCTGATACCATTATTACCATCAATTTCGGCGTTCCACAAGGATCAATTTTGGCACTTACATTGTTTCTGCTTAATATCAATGATCTGTTGGGAGTAATCACTCACCTCATCCTCAGTTTTGCTGATGATAGTACATTCCATACTACGTTCACTGCCGGAATTCCCAAATCTTCTCAGAAAACTAACAACTCACAATAAAGACAGGATGACGCTGTCGATGAAGACCTTACGGCCTCAACAATCTGGTGGAATTCACCGCAACCAAAACTCAAGCCTGTATTTTATCTCGAATGGCGGAATATTCAGTCTGATCTATTTATGTCTGGTACCATCATTATCACCAAGTCCACTATATATCTATGCTCGGTATCTCCTTCAGCAATACTCTTTCATGAAAAAATCATTTCAGATCGAAAGCGAAAGCTGCTTAGCAAAAACTCGGATTTTTATTCCGTGCAAAAATCTACTTCATACCTCAACAGCTTCTTGATCATGTTATACAGAGCTCCTCTTTGAGAAAAGGTACTTTTCCCACATATAGGGTTCAGCAACCAGACCTACGATGATGCTCTTAGATTTCATCCAGAGAAGTGCCATTTGTGTAGTGGGTGATACCACACTCACAGATTTGACTTCATTGAAATACTTTTGAAAAGTCGGCGACCTACCTTTTTTCGATATTATCCACTTCCAGTCAGATAACCTCGACCAGCCCAGTCATCATATCCTTTCGTTGTCAAAAGTTCAAAAAATGCCAAAACCTATACCTCCTCTCCCTAACCTCCCCATCTTCCCTAGGCACGCACGATGTTCCTTGAACATTATAGGAATTCCCTTTCGTGCGCCCAAGAAAAACAGCAATCTCAAGGTCGGAGTTTCAAGAAAGTTATTGCTTCTTTTCGATAGAAGCGGCCAAGCCGCTGCCCTGAAGCTATTTCGGATGGATATAAAATTATCACCAAAGAAATCAAATTCTCAAAATAATCCTGTCTCCCGTTATCCAGAAATGTCTAAGAGGCCATCAAATTCGGGACGTCCTATAATACATATAAATTATACACACACATACCGAACTATAGGAACATGACGTTGACACGACATCCTTGCAACGTCATTAAACTGACGTCTTATTTCACCCATCCAAGTGACGATTACTCAACGTGATGATGACGTGATCATCACGTCATGGGAAGAACGTCATGGTGACGTAAGCAATTGGTGTGTGATGACACTGACAAAAAATCACTAATAGGGTATGTTACAGTGACGTGACCATTCGTCATCTGGTTGCCTGGGATTGGGATTGCTCCAGTGCAAAACTAATACAGTGTGAGTGCAACACTAGTTCTTTAGTCAGTGCAGCACCAGTTTTCCCAATAATATTCGCATTGTATTCACTTTATCCGATTTCCTCTGGAGTTCTGATGTAAACTGATATAGTGATTAATCACAATTTCATGATAAAGTCGTTTATATGATTTTCTGATAAGTCAAATTTTCTAGGAGAAGTATCCCAATATATGGTACCTGATGGAACTCACGTTCGCATTCCTATCCCGAACAACCCCAAAGGGTGCCTGAAGATCTGCCAGTGCAACAAGAACAGCATCGATGAATGCCAACCGTTACTGTGCGTCACTCTCACCTCCTGTCTTCTGGGCAACACCCAACAACTCCACGGGTCCGTCTTCCAGATGGACTGCAACCAGTGCAGCTGTTACGCTGGCGAGATCATATGCAGCAAGAGGCAATGTGAGAGTAGCGCTCTCAGTGGAACCAATACCGCTTACACGACGTTGCCATGTAACTGTCCTTCACATTATGTTCCCGTTTGTGGACGGAACGGTGTGACCTATCCATCAGCATGTCTGGCAAAGTGAGTAGCTTTCCATATCAGCACATAGAGAGTCAACGTAACACCTTTAGTGAATGACGTAGAATTGACGTAATTTTTCAGCCATGAATATAGGATATGTTTCGTTAATCAACCGAAGTTTATGATGCTTTCAGGGTCGGTACCAACAATTTTGACAGTGATTATCTACTGGTGACTACGGTTGTTACTTATTTATGCCTGTTATTTGTAAAATTTTAGTTCTGATCGTTTTAAAACATTCATGCTCTGTCAGTATTTGATTTTCAATTATTGAACACAAAAGTCCCTAATTCTTGTGCACAGTAAGCACAAGCAAAGGAGTAGTGTCCTGAATAAGAAAAAAGTCATCAAACTGAAAATATATCGAGTACGTATCATTAATTTTCCTCAGTAAACGAATCTATCGGAACTCAACGCAATTATTAATTAATAATTTGGAAATCAAAAAACCAAATCAGAAACTAGAACACGCAAAACTCAGCTCGAACTTACCGAACTCACCAGATAAAATCCACGGTCACTCTTGTGACAGTGAATCTACCGTTTTTTCATAGTCATAAAATGTTAGATGTCCTATAATGACGTTTGAGAGACCCTATGGTAACATTTAAATAGGTATACGGCATTGTGTGTCCTTATACCCTATCTATAGCTTCAACTATACGAGGTGGAAAAAACTTCGAACATGAATATTGTAGAGTTTCATCTGTAGTATCTTTTGACACTCCTCAAATGAACAAATGCAAATCGCAAAATAGAGAAGAATAGAGTCCAAATCATTTTTCACAATGCAACACCCTGTATATTGTCGACTTTTGTCTTTCTTTCCTGTTCACAAATACATATATATAGTTTGCTGATGTTACCTTAAGCCGTTTTCTACTAAATTCTTGCTGCACCACTGAAATTTTTGTAATATCTTCATAATCTATTCTTATACTATCTCGTATTCTTCTCCTATGGAATAGCTCATTTTTATTGAAAAACTGACAACAGGTGTCAAAAAATGCCTGTTTTATTTCCAAAGCATTTCTGCCACCTAAATGTTACTTTTGGGTGTATGATAAATTGACATTCATCATACAGGGCGTGGAAATGAATTCTGAATTGAGACTCTATCACGAATCTGCGATTAGAGGTCTATAAAAATCACAAGTTTCCATCGTTCAAGTTTGAACCCCCTGATTGGTTATGAAAGTGTTGAAAAGGAATATTCTCAGATGAATTATGAACATACAAAAATGGATATATATATTTATATAAAACAATACATTGAGAATTCGCATTCTCTATGTGATGAGAATATTTACTCTTTTTCAGTTAATTCAATAGAAAACAACTACTTTCCTGGCTATATGCCACGACGAACATTGAATTATATCTATTGAACACACACGATAAGAGTTTGAAAATAAAATATGAAAATTTCTGAAATTGAGAATTTGCATTCTCCTTCAGACAAAAATATGTATATACACACATCATTCTGAATATTCAACAGAAAACAACTACTTTCCTGGCTATTTGCCACGTCGAACATTGAATTATATCTGATGAACATTCAAAAGGGAACATGAAAAATAAAGAATAAAATCCTCCGAAATTGAGAATTGACATTCTTCTTCAAATCGGATGAATAATATGATGAATAATGATCTAGAAATATGACTTACCAATATATTCAGCATTGAAATGAAAATTGGAATGTATATGAGAAGTATACTGGCATGAACTCTGATCTTGATGAGCTTGAAAACGTCCAAAAATAATCATTCATATCAGTGATATGGGAAATATTATCTCTCACACACAGGTTATATGACTTTATTGCAAATAGCCAGGAAAGTAGTTGTTTTCTGTTGAATATTCAGAATGATGTGTGTATATACATATTTTTGTCTGAAGGAGAATGCAAATTCTCAATTTCAGAAATTTTTATATTTTATTTTCAAACTCTTATCGTGTGTGTTCAATAGATATAATTCAATGTTCGTCGTGGCATATATCCAGGAAAGTAGTTGTTTTCTATTGAATTAACTGAAAAAGAGTAAATATTCTCATCACATAGAGAATGCGAATTCTCAATGTATTGTTTTATATAAATATATATATCCATTTTTGTATGTTCATAATTCATCTGAGAATATTCCTTTTCAACACCTAAATGTTATTTGTAACTTCGTTTCAATGCTTGAGGAAACATTAGCAAACATATATTTTCTCGTGAGCAGGAGAAAAAGATCTTCCACTTGAGAAACTGATTTGGACTCTCTTATTTCCTTCTATTTTGCAATTCGCATTGGTTTATTTCAGAAGTGCCAAAAGGTAGTACAGATGAAACCCTAATACTTTCATACTCGAAATATTTTTCCACCTCGTATAGTTCAAGCTGTGTAGCTAGGGGTCAAAATATAAGGAGACACCCTGTACAAACACAATAATATTCCACAAATTTTTAATGAGATTCATTGGTAACTAAGTATGCATTGTGGTGACTTAGTCAATTGTCCCCCGGGTAGTCCTGTTCAATCCTCGATCAGTACGCATGTCTAAGTATATGAATAGAGTTAAATACATGGCAACCACTCATTGCATTGATTTAAAAATAATTATTGTCTATAATATGATCAACAGGAAGAATAATACTCGTTTTGTATTGAAAATGTAATCAAATCTTTCAAGAAACATTCAAAAGCTAACTCGTTAACGTAAAATCCTTATTAATATTCATGATTCTAATATGAATTCAGATTTCGGAAATTATAACACCAAAAGTCAAATGCCTTTAGGGGTATCGATAGAGGCTCAATAATGATCGACCCCGTGTACATTGGCGTTACATTGATCAAACATGTTTATATGGAGTCGATCAACAATTTTTTTTTTGTTACAGATGTGCAGATCTCAATGACGCTGATATTGAACACTACCCCTGCCAAAATCCTTGCAAAAGTAATACTTGTCCTGTAGGACAAAAGTGTGTTCCGAATCCTCAAGTATGCTTGAGTCTCATGCACAAACCATGCAAGCAGTATGAATGCAGTAAGTGCTTTTTGAGTAGATAGGTTTGTTCTAGTTCTGAAAATAAACAGTCCGAAACCGTCAGGAGCATGCGCAGTTTCATAGAACTATTGGCATTTTCCATGCTTCCGCGATGGTTTCACTTAGTTTTTGAACGAGAACAAACCTATTATCGACTTTAGAAAATGAATTAAATCTTCCTTGAGGTAATCATTTTGTACTCCTCTCAGAGCTTTCAATGACAGGTAAGCAGTGGAAAGCTCAAAGCAGATGTCACCGGTGAGGATAGACGACATGTCAGTTGTCAATCTTTGTTCATGAATTTTTTGACGAAACTACATCAATAATCTTTATTCAGATGCTTGAACGTTGTATTCTGCCATTGTTAAGATCTATGCATGATTCTGCCTTTATGTTCCTCGAGAACGACTGGAATAAACAACACTTTCACATCTTATTTGAATAATAATTTTTATGCATTTCATGCCATGAAGATGACAGATTATCCCAAACAACACTCTAGTACTGTTGGAAATGAAATTTCAAATACTGTCCACATGTTTCAAAATATTTATTTCGCAGAATATAATCCAAGATGAAAGTCAAATTGGAGAATCGATATAAATATACATAGTTACATAATGAAGTAAATTTTCATATCCCCACAGCCCACAATCTACGCTTGAATTCAAAAAAGTCTCAAATAATATTATTCGGGTCAAAATAGGAAGTGGAATGTGCCAGTGAACGTGAAGATATAAAAATAAAAATCAGGTCTGATATTTTACCTATAGTTGAAGAATGCAAAAATCTAGGTTTATGGCTCGACTCAACATTCTTAGACAACTATTTCCTAACAGACACATGCTCTCCAAGCAATTGAAGCGCTCTTTATGCGAAGCATTGATGACGTCTAAATTGTCTTATTGTGATAGCGTCTACGGTCCAGCACACTTGAAGTCAAGTTCAAGTGAACTTGATCAGAATCGTCTCCAAAGAATACAAAACTCATGCATTAGACTTTCTTTCGGTATTCGTAAATGAAGTGTTAGTGAATACCAAACGACCTCTGCACACGCAATAGACACATTCTTGTCATTCCTCCTCACTCTTCTGCAATATACACAAGATGTTTTTCATACAATGCTGCTAAGTTTCACAACGAAAAGGTTCATCAACCATTCGCAGAACCGAGCCAAAGAGCTACTCAGCCTCAGAAAACCAGAGCTAAAGCTTATCACAGGCTTTCTCACAGGACACGGCCCTCTGAGGTACCACCTCAAAAAGATGGGTCTGGCGATGAGCGAGATGCGACCGAAACCGCGGAACACATACTTTGCTCATGTGAAGTATTAGTCCGCCAAAGGCTGAACCACCTAGAACATGTCTATCTCACCCCTGCTGAAGTGGAAATGTCAACCGTCAGGAAAATCGTAGGCTTCATCAGAAGTCTAGGGTTAGAGGACCAAAACTAGATAGGGGTAATCACAATAGATCTTCTAGGTCGCAGTGATCGAGAGGTCTCTCAGCCTATACGACCCATCTACAATCTACAATCTACAAGTTTCACAAGCAATTGCCAACTGAATTCAGACTATATACATTATACACTCAGTAACTTCAAATAAAGATCAATAATCCTTATGAAAAATGGTAAATTTTTGTTAATTCGTTGATGGGTCTCGCTCCGGAACTCAGCTTTGACATGTTCAAATAGAAATATACCACCAAAGTCATATGATTTATTATTTTTGTTCTCTTTTTTATATGAAGTGAGTAGGTACTCTGTAATTATATTATGAATCGTATGTATTTCTTGTTCTATTTCGTTCATTGTTTTTGTGAGGTTAAGTTGAAATACAGCTATAGCTTACACTTTGCCTTTTCATCATTCTATTCTCTTTCTCATTCATTTGAATCCTCTGTATTTCTTATCTATAGAAATTGATATGATGAATAAAGCCGCTTTATTATTATTATCATTATATAAATAGCCAATGAAAGAGGAATATTGATATCATATTCAGAGGCAGATAGAACATCCATGTATCCAATGAGCCTTCTCTTCATTTCTTACTTACTATTTTCCTTCGCATATGCTAACATAGTGTAGTTTCATCTTTCATCTAGGTACCAACTTGTTTTTTTTTTCGTTTCGAGGATTTTTTTAGCAAAAATATGGAAAAATCTCTTTTGTTTCAGTCAACGGCTCTTCAGACTGCTCAACTCTTCCCAAAGACCCAGTTTGCGACATCGACAATCGTCAGTACGAGAACTCCTGCCTTTTGGCTCACCACAATGCCAAGCTAGCTTACAGAGGTCCATGTCTGACTAAGTGCAGATACAGAGGACAAGTATGTGGCTTCAATGGGAAAACATACGAGTCGGAATGTGCAGCGTTTGCCGATATGGTGTCGGTGGATTACGAAGGATCCTGTGTAGCCATTGGTTTGATCACTAAAGTGAAGGCAAGGCAGTGTTCTGGGGTCAAGTGTCCCAAGTTGCAGACTCCATCATGTGTTGGTGAGTATTCAGTAAGGAATTGCCCAGATTTGAACTACCAAGCCCAGACAAAATATCACAGAACACATCAAAACGATGACATTTGCTGCTATATCAAATTCTCATTATTTAAGGAAATAAGTGATCGATGGAAATATTACACGGTATTTTCTTGGGTTATATTTCGATAGTGATAGTTCCGAAGGCCATCACACGCCGATGGCAATGAAAGCATAAACAATCATGTGGCTGAATGAAAGGGAAACATACATTCAGGAGAGTTCCAATTCAACGATATTAGACACGGGAATCACTATTATGTTCATGGAACATCGTTCGTTCTTTGGAAGGATAGGGAGAGGACGTAGGTATTGGGTTCTTTCAACTTCTGTAGGTCCTAGCACAGTGACGTCAGGAAACTGACCAATCAACGTCAAAATATTACGTCTTGAAGACCTCGAAAATACGTCGAAATGTCACAGCCATATAAGACGTCTCAGGATGACCAATGGAGGACTATATTGTAAAATATTCAGATAATATGTAGAAATATGATATACAGTATTATAAAAACATAATCAGACACCATTACCCTTTGACGAGATTAATTGATGACTTGGTCCCTCCGGGTGTATTCCTGTTCGGTCCTGGTGTTATCTTTAGTTCGCATCCTTGTCTGAGTAAAACATCAGCATTCATATTTGTATCTGGAATTATGTAGTGAGCGTCGGCGAGATGTAAGCGGAATAAAAGTAGCTCGAATGCAACGTACCGAAAGTTATCAAATGAAACTTCACGTTGTAGAGATATACAATTTTATACAAACTCAAGTTTTGTAGAATAGATGATGAAAAAGTAAGATAATTACTGATTACTTCATTCGGTGATTTGAAGAGAATGTTGGAGGAAAAAAACGAAGTTATCATGGCATCTTATTAATATATATATATTATTATATCACTGGTGGCACTGGGTATTTGAAAGGTATGTCCCATACCTATATTTTTCAGACCTCTGTTATCATTTCCGCTAGCCCCCAGTCTGATGTATTGGTGAAATTACCTCTTCAAGGAGAATCTAAAGATGCATCAATATCTCGATCAATATACATAGTGCCTTACTCATTTGAACAAACTCATTATCAGCCGATATCTTGGAATTTGAACACATATTCCAGTTCATTGTACCAGTATATCACCTGACGAAGCTACTGTGTTAGCGAAACATGTCGTGTGTTTGAGAATTTCGTGGAAATCTTATCGTTTGTGAAGTTTTTACATCATTTATTGAATCATTCTATTCAGGGTTGTTTTGTTCGTTTCAGGTGTGACTCCACCTGGAGCTTGTTGTCCAATATGTGGAGGATCTCTACGCCTGCTATATTCGAGGAAGCAAATAGATAGAGCTCTCTATGCTTTACAGAATCAGAGCACCCAATCCTTGAATCTTTTTGCCCTCCTGAAGGCATTGGAACGTCAAATACAGTTGGCTCAGTGTAGCCTCAAAGGATACTTGACTGTGGAATTGGATATTTTTGTTGTTGTGCAGAGTACTGAAAGGTAAGATAAATCCCAGAATTATATTGAATTATTGTGCAACAACACAAACGATATTAAATCAACACTTCACCACTGTTGCATTCGTTTATTCCAAGTAGGTAATCTTTGTTTATCACTACTTCCAAGCTAATGTGCCACACCGAATTTTTATGAAGATGATAATTGTGAATACTTTTTTGAATAACAAAATGAAGGACTAGCTACCATACCCATAGATATAGTTTCATATCGTTTTCTACCGGACTGCACTCACTGTATAAGCGGTTCTGTTAAATGCCCCCCTCCCTTTTATTTTTCGAACGGGTCAACTGAAAGAATTGAAACTTGGGGTAATGAGATCGATGCATGAATATTATATTTTGGAGTAGAATTGACAGATGAAATTTCCAATATGGCAATAACTGGGTGCCATCTGGTGAAAAATCAAATGGAAAGAGGAATCTTGTGACAATAGTCGCCTTGAACTACTTGACATGAAATGAAAACAGTCTATCCGATATTTCAAGCCGAACCCACTCGAACACAGATACGTCGATATTTCTACAAATATTCATCATTATCTGTCGTATATCCAATATTGGAGCAGGTGCCTGCACCTTCTGCTTTATGAAAAAATGTCTAAAGGTGTCAAATCTGGCTAGCGGGCTGGCCATTCCGCAGGACCTTGACGGCCAATCCAACGAGCAGGAAAAGTATTATCCAAATATTTTCTTACTTTTCTGGAGTGATGTGGAGTTGCTTCATCTTGTCGAAGAACTATACCCAAATTAATGTATTTGTATTCAGGCAACTATTGAATGTTTCGCCATTTCGTTGTGGGTGAAGATATCAACTTTATGTTTTGGGGTTGTGAAGTATTCTTCAGGAGCTTCGAAATGGTCCTCCTTTCCAAGTCATTCTTCCAAGATGGCACCCAGTCGCCATCTTCAAATTTTCATCTGTCAATCCCACTCCAAAATATGGTATTCATGCATCAATTTTGTTTTCCTAAGTTTCAAATTCTTCAGTTGAGACGTTCGAAAAATAAAAGGAGGGACATTTAGGAACAGCACTGATGTATCTATAATTGGCGTGTACACCTTGGTAGAACTTTTAACTCAAACCATGTTCATAATGATCCTTTCATACATAAATAATGATTGACGACATAATTCGATCGAAAAATTAACTGAAATGTTTTATTTTTGGGCATAAATAATAGTATCTTCTGGAAACGGACCCTCTTATGACGTAGAAACCTCATCTCGCCATAGTTAGAAGAAAAAACCAAAAGCCCGACGGAGACTGAGGCAACTGATATATTAATTCTTTCAAATGTGATCTCGCGCTAATTCACTCTGTCAGAGATCATGTATTATTAATCTTTGTCTGGAATAGTCTTGTTTCAGTATTAGGGTTTTGACGTCACATCATTGTTCGACTCAACACCGAGTCCGAACCAGAGCTAACTCTGCCTTTCGATAGATGATGTCATATGTTACCTTTTTTTGTTAACCATTATCTGTCAATAAAAGCGATTATCATTCTTATTATTATTATTATCATCGCCTCGTTTTCAGAGGTCCGAAAAATCGGGGATTTCAATAATTTTTTATAAAACGTAGGGAGCTCACAGCATGAAACGGTTTGCGGTGGTGAGCTAGTTTGGGTGAGTTCTATCGAATTATGAATTGAATTTTTTTTGTGATATTAGCCCATTCAATATGAATATAGACAAAAAACATCCAGTGAGAGAATATAATGATGAAAAATTGAATATCCTTCGTTTCAAACCTACCAAACATATCCCGATTGGTTATTACAGATTTTTTTGTGAGAATATTCCTCAAATGTTTGGCCTAATGACTATTTCTTTATGGTTTCAGAAATCCTTCAGAGTTGCAACTTGAAGCTTGCATAAGAGAAGCAGAAAAAATCTCCAGTCTCATCAATATGCAGAGTCCACGAATTGTGAGTGAACTGAGCCTTAGTTCACTCACAGCAGCCAGTATGGTTCATACTCAAATCAGTGCTAGTACGAGTATTCATACTATGAGTGTGAAGTTCTTCTTAGCAGTGGTGGTATTGATGAACTCGATAATTTCCATTTAGGATGATCTTATAATTGCTTATTCAAATGGTTACCAAAGTTCAAATAATATATTAGATTTGATTTGAACGCCTTGAGATGTTGGCCGAAACTATTATCATCAAGTTTTTATGAATTCAAATCTCTAAGAGAGGGGAAAGTTGTAGAAGTAGTCATGATCGATAGATTCATATATAAGATCAAAGGCGTAATAAAATATTAGGAAAGATGATTATATAAAAGCTAAATTGATTCTTCAATGAATTATTCGTTGTTTCTAGTGGTTAGAGACGAATATGTTAAAAAGTGAATTCAACATAGTATCTGTGATAAACTTTTTACAACTGAACATTATATTTGTAGAAGTCTAATAATTTAAGACGAAGTGACTGTAAATATCAAAGAGATGTTATGATTTGTTTGTATATATTTCGTATTTTTATCAATAATTCTGGTGCCTTATTTAGATTTAGTGCATCCTATATCATATGTATCTACATCAACAGATTTATGCAAAATCTAGCTCAAGAAGATTGTGAATTCATCGGAACGAGAGAATGCCTTCTTCGTGAAAGCGTATCTGTAATCTCTAGTTTTGATAAAACAATCGTTATTTCAACGTTATTAGGTAGTTTGTTATTTTTGTTGATGTGTATACCTATTTTGATTTCCTACTTTATTGTAGGTTGGTAGGTGAACAAATTATTTTTACGATTTGTTAACTAATGTGTTTAATGTTACCAAAGAAATATCTAACTTATAATGTAAGAGGGGTTTATATGATAGATGGTTATTTTGTATGGATCCTGTCTGCAGCTCAAATACAAGACTTATTCTGTATCTTATATGACTCAAAATTATTTTTGAACCCGAATGTCAATATACACCACATTTCTTCAGAGCTAGTCCCATATGTCTCATGAAGGATCATTGTTCAACGATATCAATAAAATATTCTATATATTACATGAAGTTTATTATTATTTTTCCATATTTGTTACACTGATAGACCCATGTATCAGAGGTTGGAGGAATATTCCTCAGGACGAAGAATAGATACAAAAAACTGCGGAAATTTTCATGAAACAGGTGTTTTCCAGATATTGATGAAAATATATTTTCGGAATGAAACGCCACATATTTCAAATACTGATCAAAGGACCTAACCTGACCTTGAATTTTCGTGGAATATCGATGTATCCTGCTAGAAAAACCTCTTATAGTTTACGGATGACGTATAAGTGGAACACACTTGAAATTATCAGCACTAACTGACCTGTCATGAAGGAGATCAGTCACTTCTAATAACAACTTATTATTAAAGCGTGAATGTTCTATCCACGTTGGATTATTGGTATGTGGGTTCGATACCCACCACGACCGCAGAAATTTTTCTGATGAAAAAAATATAGTGGGAGAACAAGTCTCTTGAATGCTTCTGAGGGTTGCTCGTAAGGGGGCAACCGAATGATGGATAAGAACAATTTTGAAACTTTTTTTTTTCCTGGAATCATATAGCGTCCACATACTCTAATAAGACCTTTGAAATATGAGAATGTCTAACAAATTATACTTGAATATTTCTGATGATGTGAGATTAAGATTGATTTAGTAGATACAGTCAAGTGAGATGATCGGATCCCTCTTATCCTTTTTGGCCGAGAAAACAGTATTTTTGCGTTTTTTTATTCCAATGCTCTCACTATTTCGATGCCTTTACCTTCACATTATCAAAGCCAATCAGAAGCAGTAGTAGCATCAAATAGTTCATACACTAGCTCAAGTCGACTCAAGGGTATGGCCGGGTGTAAGTTCTCGGACAGCTTCCTACCCTAATAGCACGCAAACTCCTTGGTACAATTCAAGTCCGAATGTCCCCGACCTAGAATAATTGTCCTTGGGACGTCCCATCCCGTACGTCTCATGTAGTGTCGGAGCAAGGACGTCCATGGAATGTTCGAGCTGGTACATCATTTCAAATGTCCTAGAAATAGCATCCTTTTGACGTTCCACATGGTACATATAGAAGACTGTCCATGCAAGAACGTCCTTAGCATGTGCCTGATGGGATATAATATTGAAAGTTTCTTTATGGGAACATCCATCGCGGATGTCTTAAGTAGTACACTTCCTGGAATGACTTCAGTTTTTATATAATGTCCCTTCTAGAACAAATATGGAATATCCCAGACGGTGCATTCCTTCAAATATCTCTGTACGGACCCCCTCAATATTTCTATAGGATCGTATATCGCCTGAAATGTCCCTTAGGGACATCCGTCGGATCTAAGTAAATTTCCATAGGATTTCATGGGTAAATCGTCTTATAGATGTCCCAAGGATGTCCTCAAAATGTCCTGGATATGATTCGGAATGTTTCCTGAAAAGGCACATCAATCTGTGGAATACATTGGCATCAGGACCTCAGACATCCTTTATAATTATTCTTTATGCAAGCGAATGATAATTTTCAATCTCCTAGAAATAACGTCTTACGGATGACCCAGTCGTTACGCGAGATATGTTGTCCCTGCGAGAACGTTAACTCACATCTCGACATCTCGCCGAAGATCGACTGCTCGTAGGCTATAAATACTCAATGTCAACGTCAATGACCTTTGCGCAAGTCCATTAGACATCCTTTGGGAACCTTCTTCAGGATTTATTGAGGACCTTCTACGGACCATCAACTCACCTGGATGTTCTCATCTGTTATGCAAGATCTGGTCCTAGGGAGACTCAAATAAATTCGAAGTCAAGATTAATTCGTACGTCCAGGAACATCCTATGAACATTCCAGACGTCGTTCTGTGAAAGTTTCAGAGACGTTGTATAATGTTTCTGGAGGACGTCTTATGGACGTTCCAGAGGATGTCTGCTGGCATTCCAGAGGATGTTTCGGAGGATGTCCTATGAATGACCTCGGTACAAAAACAGAATGTTCAATGAACTCTTTGAAAGAACGTCCATTGGATGATTTCCCAAAGAGGTCCAATGTATATCCTATCTACCAAGATCACATGTCCTATGAATGTCCTATGGACACCCATGTGACTTCAGGGTGCTATTAGGGTATAGCGCAAGAGATACACGCTTCAATGGACCGAATAAAGGAGTAAGCCTTCTAAACAAAAGATACTTTCTCATTGCCACCTCTTAAGCTCTACAAAACAGCGTTGAGGAAATTTTCTTAGGACGTTTTGTTTCGGAGAAACCATTTTTGAGATCGCCATGATAGACATCCTAATCTTGGACACACTGTATACACAATACGACAATCTATCACCGATATTACTGTGTAAATCATAGCCTGTGCCACTATAGTAAAAAGTGGGGTGAGCCAAAAAAAATGTTATCCGCATTGGAAGAATTTTCGATACATATACTTATATACCGACATATCGTGAAAACACTACGAGAAGAGTCGACAGCTGCCGTGGGCTTATAAGTCCTTACATATCATCAGGAATCCGGATACGACTGACGATTCTGATCGAACAAATGTTCATAATTGAGTGAGATGCCTCCTTATTGGGGTAAACAAGTGTGACGAAGATGGTTAATGAAAAAGGGATGAATGATACTCGTGAAATGACATCTATGAGGATTGAAATGATTATCTTTTAAATTCCATCTTTTAACTTTATGATCTTGTCCGATTTCAAATTCAAAAGGTAACCTTTTTTAAACAAAATTAGTGATTTGAAAGGGTGACCTGTTTCACGTTGAAAACGTTAACTTTTTACGTTCATCAGATGCAATTTCGTGGTTAAAATGTTTCATTTAGCATTCATAAGATGTTTTTGAATAGAGACTTGTATGACTAGATTTTGCTAGGTGTAGTTTCTCAAAATTGAGTGGAGTATATATTGTTATAGAAGTATTCGCCCCGAATGACACCCATCAGCGAACCCATGACACTGCATTGCAACACTGCTTCAGAATAACCAAAATTCTCGCAAGCACTGTATTACTTCGTGTAATGATATGCATACCATTAGATTTATTCTATCTCAAACTTGTATCATTATTCGTTGCTGATGAGATATGGCCGACCCTAACAACACGGGATCTTGCTGGTACATCCCGCTAAGGCCCTACAAATGTCCCAATGACTTAGAGTACGATATCCCAGAGATGTTTCTCTTGGGACATCCATCAGATGTTTTCATTGGATGTTCCAGAAACATACCATTTGATCATTTTTTATAAACAATATCATGGTTCCATATCTGCTATAATGATGATTGACATGATTGAACAGTTCAAACAATTGTGACATTTGAAACATTGAAGAGTTGATAAAAAATGGAAATCAAAACTGTATTCGTAGATATATATACTTATACCTATACCAAAGCCGGTTAATTTCATCGATAACAACTGGAAATAATTATACTAAATATTCCTCAATACGATTACCAATGTACCTGCTTAAGTTCATGAACCATGTAATAAACGACAAAATCAAAATATATCTCTTCAGCATATTTATTGCTGAATTTATTTGTTATACCAGCCGATAGATGGCGGTACAACTACGTTGCTAAGAGTTACTATAACAGCCGTCGGCCCAGCGCCAACAAATATGAGCCTCAAACAACTGTTATCATCTTCCATCAGTTATTTGACCGCACCGACCTTATATTTTCGGATTCGGTTTGTTACTTGATATCTGGAAATAGGTCAGCCATTTTCAGGATTTCAGATTGAAAATAATTCATACCGTGTCATCCATTACTGTCATCAAACAAAAAACATCCTATATAAAAGTTTCTTTAAGATGTTCCATATCAAGTACCCTGAATGTCTCTGGTACATCCCGTATCATCCCACAAACATTCTGATGGGATGTTTATAAGACATCGCAAATACTGACACGGGTGTTGCCAGCAACATCCCAAGAATGTCCCAAGGAAAATAGGGATTTTCCAGAGATGTTCCTATCATCCCATATGGATGTTTCTACGACGTCTTACAGATGTTATTGTGTTATTAGGGGACAGCCGTTTTTAGTTGTTCACCCGGTACATATGAAATCGACATCTGAATCACCTCTGTAACTTCATTTCTTCGAATAGTATTGTCGAGTGAACCCCTCGAAACTATAACAGTTTCAGTACAAAAAGAGTTTTACAACACATCGAATAAAAATGTCGCAGCCACGTGATGAATGCTGTTCGCTTACGGTGTCG